ATACGGAATTCCTATGATGGATTAAACTGCAAAATTGTGCATGGAGGGCAATTGACAAACTCGTTCGAGGTAAAGACCGATGTCAGGCAAGGTTGATTACTCTCACCTTTTCTCTTTCTCCTGGTGATCGACTGGATTATGAAGACGTCAACATCTGAAGGGAAACGCGGGATACAGTGAACATCTAGGATGCAGTTGGACGATCTAGACTTCGCAGACGATCTGACCCTCCTATCGCAATCGCAACAACAAATGCAGGAGAAGACGACCAGTGTAGCAGCAGTAGGTCTCAATATACACAAAGGGAAAAGCAGGATTCTCCGATACAACACAGAATGCACCAATCCAATCACAATTGACGGAGAAGATTTGGAAGATGTAAAAACCTTTACATATTTGGGCAGCATCATTGATGAACAGGGTGGATCTGATGCAGATGTGAAGGCGCGGATCGGCAAAGCAAGAGCAGCATATTTACAACTGAGGAACATCTGGAACTCAAAGCAACTGTCAACCAACACCAAGGTCAGAATTTTCAATACAAATGTCAAGACAGTTCTACTGTATGGGGTAGAAACCTGGAGAACTACGAAAGCCATCATCCAAAAGATACAAGTGTTTATTAACAGTTGTCTACGCAAAATACTTCAGATCCGTTGGCCAGACACTATTAGTAACAACGTACTGTGGGAGAGAACAAACCAGATCCCAGCGGAGGAAGAAATCAGGAAGAAGCGCTGGAAGTGGATAGGACACACATTGAGGAAAGTACCCAACTGCGTCACAAGACAAGCCCTCACATGGAATCCTCAAGGCCAAAGGAGAAGAGGAAGACCAAAGAACACATTACGCCGAGAAATGGAAATAGACAAGAACTGGATGGAACTAGAAAAGAAGGCCCAGAACAGAGTGGATTGGAGAATGCTGGTCGGTGGCCTATGCTCCATTGGGAGTAACAGGCGTAAGTAAGTATTCGTTAGATTTCTTTGATTCAATATCAAACATAACTGGAAATGTTGACCTCACTAGATATTGCATCTCTTCTTATAAATGTATCTCCGACGAAAACACCCCTTCTACTGTGTAATCAAATTGAAGACAACAAACTCGATATCCGTATCCCAATACACTATTTGAAAGAATATCCTCGATGCACTCTGAATGTCCAACTTAAATTTAACAGTGAGTTCTATAGACGAACTGACGGCGTAGTGACCGGGTTTGTGATATTTCTATTGTATGTTTATGAAATGGCTGTCATTAGTATGATTGTTTTTTTCTCCCGTAACGATATTTACGATGTCATTTTTAATTATGACAGATAAAAAACACAAGTGCAACACTATCATTGACAATGATATATATTATTAGATATATGATGAATAAACTTTGATATCAATGATAATAACAATAATAACAATGGTTAAAATGAACCAAAGACTAATATGAAATAATTTTAAAGTTCCAGGAAGGATCATGAAAAAAAGGAAGGAAGAAAACAAATCAAAGAGAGAGGGCGAAAAGAATAGCTCAATCAATTAACAACTGTGTTGAAAATTAGAAGCATATATAAGTGAATAATTACAACAATGAAATGCCGACCTATTGATGTATAGATATGAAGTTAATAAAACAAAAAAACACGAAACCAGTTCATGAACAATTCATTTATATGAGAGAAAAGAAAAATAATATTTATATATAGGAAAAAAGCATGATTGACATGTGTACATACAGTTTGTTGATTATTGTAATAATAATATGATAACGATACGTGTTAACATTATCATTATTAACGTTGATTTGCTGAAAATCGATAAAATGTAGCTTGTAAGTACGTATGATAATTTAAAAGATTGTCGAGACTCATGTGAAAGGAAACTAGTAGAAAACATTGAAGTGTTACCGACATCTTACAATAATAATAATGATAATAATAATAATAATAATATTGGTAAATGATGCTGGTATGGATGAAGACAACAATGAATGAACACCATCTACCTCTAGGAAGATTTGTATGTTATAAAATGTAAAGATACAAATGGTTTGAAGAAATGCTAAATAACTGAAGATCAATAAAAGTACAAAATAATAGTAGAAATGTGAATTCGTGAAACATTACCGTTAAAATGCTCATTTATCATTTCGAATAAAGACACAGTTATACAGATAAATACATATGATATAGTGGGAAAAAATATGACAAAGAGTAGGATGGAGGAGAAAGAATACATTGATAAAAATAATGGAAGTATATCTAACCAGTATATATATAGGTGGGTATAATGTCCACTGGTTCTTTAATGAGTTTTTACACTCGGTTCATTTTCATCATACTAGAGGTATAAAAACGAAAGAAAAACATTTTCACATTTTTTACTAGTAAATGATAAAATAATGTGAATATATCCGAAAAAAATATTTTCCTTAAGCAAGCATCTACTACAAAGCGCAATTAGTATGTCATCATATAGATAATTTAGAATCTGTTATGTTATCTTTGGTTCTGTAAATAAAGATTAATGGAATGCTGATTGGTGTACTAAATAAGATTATCCACCATATGATAATCGACTGATATGTTCCTCTCAACAATGAATAATAATTGATGAACAATCCTCAAAAAATTGTTTAAATAAAAAACAGTAGAATTGACAGTTTTTCTAAGTAGAATAAGACAAAGAATTCAAGCACATTAACTAATCCGTCTGTAAGTTTAGAAGATTCAGGAAGCATAAATGGTTTGAAGATCTGGTTGTTAAAGTTTGCTGAAGTAATAGCCATAATAAAAAGAAACTCTAGACTGATTTATGTAACCAAAAGGAGATAGTAACCAACCCATTACTACCCTAGTATATCATTCATGTCATTATCTTAATTTTGTTAGTGTTCATCTTGTTATATGGTCTTCCCTTACCGAAGTCTTATTTTCTGTACATTAAAACCACTTAAACATTTCCATCCATTCAATTCTGTTCACTCTTCAAATCCTGTTCAATTACTACGTAACCCATCTTATCAGTTTCTAATTACAGGAATCTTATATAAAGCTTTCTCAACCTCTAAAATTATCATACAATTTATCTTATCTGTCTCTGAACCTCAATTAATGTATCGCCCACCCCTTATGTTTTTTAATTCCAACACCAAATGACCTACGACTTGTTCCTACGCATATGTATAGAGTTCATAATAACCTTTGTCATTCTAATTATTTTCATTCATCTACGTCACTTGTTTCACACTATATCTTACTTCAATGTAAAATTTTAATACATATTTGGTTGTAAGCAGCTGATGAGAAACTAAAAAATATAATGAATTCATATTATTTTGCATCTATGTTTGTTCTGGCTTTATTTTAATTCTAATCTGTTTCAATCATACATATTATCACTGAGCTTAAAGTAAGAAATATTGGTACAGCAAAGAGTTGTCTTTACGGTGAATAGATCAAAATTACATTCAATTAATAAATATTGGTGTATCTTGATACTGGATTAAAACTCTATCATATATGATTTGAAATCAAAGACAGTAAATTGATGTGATATTCTTATTTTTCTGTTACTTATGTCTTAATTACCATGATGTAACAAAATATTTATATCTTCCTGAAGCAGCTCGATTTACTATCCACTTGCATTCCATTTGTTCTTTAATTTTTTTTATGTTACAACTTTTTATTGTATACTAACTTAGTAGTTTGTCTAGCTTTCCATAAAAAAATTAAATATACACACACACACAATAACAGATTTTACTCTATTTGATGACAGCATTTATTAGAGATACACAAAACTTGACCAGTATTATAACACAAATAATTAGAATTTCAATAAGCATGTTCATGATATACTTTGCTTGGTTATTTGTTTATTTTTAATGTATCAAGTTTATTTGTCTACAAACCATATTGAAGATAAATCATAACAATATAAAACATGATGAAATCATGATAAAATGCTCAGTTCTAACAGTGAAAAAACGTTTTTATTTGTATATAAAAATTTACCAAAAACAATTGACCTATTTTTTTCTTAATCATTAGTTTTAATAATTTGTTCTAATCATAAATGTATATCGGTTCAAAAAAATAAAATAAACCATTCACAGTGAAATCGATTAAGAGAACAGATACCTTGAAGTCATTTGATTGTACATTGAGGAAATAGAAAAATGTGATTTTCTGTCATAGGTCAAATCACATTTATGCTTATAAGCATAATAATAATAATAATAATAATAATAATAATAATAATAATAATAATAATAATAATAATAATAATAATAATATGTGCAAATGTCACTGTATAATCAGCTGGCAAACATTCGCCAGTAATACAAGTCAACAGTCTGTCGTCATATGTTACAAACCACTTTTTATTTTAACGCATGATATATAAATATATGCGTCGTTGGCCATTAAAACTAAGCACAATATGAAATAAAGGTTGATTGTAAATACCTTTTGCTTGAAAAAAAGAACATTCATTTCTAATTCTTATTTCTGTGGAATCATACAAGAGACGGATGTAAAAAAAAACAGGGATAAAATAAAATCGTCAAAACGTGTCGAAGACAGACTGAAAAAATAAAATAACTTTACGACCTGCATCATTTGACTAAGTTAAATTGGATACTAGTCATTTAGCAAAAGGTTATAAGCTTTATATACACACTTTTTACTAACAGCATTTTAAAATCTTATTCATTGTTTAGTACTTGACACGAAAACTACGTTAAGTGACTTATAGTCAGCTGATAAGTAGTAGAAATGTGACGAATAAAAAAATATAGATTTCAAGTTATACTTTATACCTAATTTCATGTGACTGGCAAATAAATGGTATTGACAACTGGAATAACTAAAAGCTAATATATAATATTTGACAAAGACAACAATTTTAAGTGAATTTCGTTTAGAGAGGATTCACCCAATAGTTTTAAACATGGAGATAGACAACACTTCAAAGTATCAACAATATAAATCTTACCAGTACATGCGTAGTCTGTGTTTCTTGAGGATCATATACTTCACCTTGACCTAATCCAAGTGAAAAGGAAATATCTTCATCTAATTGAGGTGCATTACTTGAAATATTTATTGATGACTGTAACATATGTGCATTACGATATGGATCATGTTGGGCTAACCAACGCAGTGGCATAAATAAGATACTTGACAAAATGAGTAATCCTGCACAAATATAAAAAGATAATATTAAACGCATTGTACATTCTTTATGACCGGTTGATGTAAACTGTATTGGAATAGATTCACAAAATGGACGACTATTTAAACATCCATGACAAGCTTGGTCCGAAAAAAGACCTGAGTATAAAAATAGAAAAGAAAAGAAGGACAAAAGAGAATAATTAGGACGGGCAAGATGGCTGCGATTTATTATCTAAAATAATTGATAATGAATGATAGGTGTGATACAGAATAAAATTAATTAGGAAGGAAAATGTTTTAGGAAAATATCACATTCAACATGTAATGGATGTCCGAAACGAAATTTTACAACTATTTATCCGTATTTTCTCTAATTTGAGTCTTGTTGTCCACGTTTGTTGATGATTATGAATAGGAAATTATTCCATTAAAATTACATGTTCATTCTATAAAATGTACTCTATAATGAAAATAACCGCCTCAATTTTATTCACACGTCGATAACTTGCAATATCAGTACTTGATAAATGACTAATTATTAGATGATAACGGATTAAAACCTTATTATCATGAATATAGTTTTCATACATTCGATTGACAGAAATATCTCCTATAGACGAAAATAAATTGTAGGAATGCACTTTTTTATTGAGAATACTCGATGACACTGTCTGATAAAATATGTTAATTTCTTAAATACATTTAGAAGTACACAATACAACAGAATAAACAACATGATGTTTTGTTTACGCTATATTTAATATAAAAAAGCATAATAATAGATCTACACAGTCATAGGGTGTTATAACGTGGGTCAAATGAGAAAGTTAATAGACAACAAGTTTAGCACTTCAAAAAATAACACCTAGTCGGATAAATGAAGTTGATAAAAAGACGAAACGATGTCATGGCTTTGAATCGTTAATTGATATCATGATTCCGACCATCAGTTAGTTCACTTATATAGCCAGAAGGACCGGTAACACTTACAGTACCATTTGACCCATTGGCCAATGAATAACACGTAAGACCTTAATGTCTATAGGCCATCGAGCTCCTTTCAACACAGGAGCCAATTAGAAAACGCAGATAAGTGCCAGATTAATTTTTTATTGTAACCAATCCAATCATGACTCAAAACGCATACGATATTATACATAAAATGACTGGCTACACAGTACATCAAATAAGAATTCATACTTTAAACGATCATACCATAAATGGTAGAGAATGTAGCAAGCAGTACACTATTAATTAACAATAACTAGAGTACAGTAAATCATCTAACGACATTTGATCGGTTTGCTGAAATATATAGAGATTTTACAAAACAATTATCTATTAACCATAAAACAAAAATACAGATGAGAGTAATTCGAAAAATAGTTCCGAAATTTCCAACTTTCCGAAATATTCGTTCTGTTATAACAACTTATTAGAATAATAACGAAAAATTCCGTATTTTTTTAAAAAATCACTAGTGAATACAATCTCGGCGAAGATTAACAAACCATAAACTTGTTGATACAAAAATTTTTTTAATGAACCTAGTCAAAATTACCAAATAAATGTTTATTTTTAGATAGTTCACTTGTAAACAACATGTATGTGTATATACTTATATTGTAACCCCTTTGTTTTTATGATTAATTTTATCAACTAGTAAACATATTCATATAAAAGGTCATAATGTCTAGACATTCAAATGTGTATCGACAGTTAGAGTATGTTAATCAGCTGAAATTTCATGTGTGACAATAAATAATATTATTATCTGAATGGTCGAATTAAAGTAGATAAGTTAAATATATGATGTAACTCATTTATCAAGAACAGATGATTTTATGCAATCAGTTTTGTATCATACGGTTCATTATGAGATGGTGACTAGTGATGTTAATCAGCGCTACATTTATGATAGGAGAAAGGTTCCATCAACAAACTGACTGCAAGATAAGTATCTTTTAACCATTCACTGTCCCACAGTCGAAGTAGATAGATCCATTATTCTGGTATTTTAAGTGGTCGCTTGTTTAGATGACAGTTAAATATTGTGAAAATAATAGTGGTAGTAATCGAGGTTATTTTCCTATCTCAGGAAATTACTGATGAACTGATACGCATAGAAATGATCTGTTAAACATACATCATTGCAATCAAGGTAGTAGTGTAAAGTAATATATACATAGTAGAAAATATGTTGTTTTTGAAAAATTCTCTCAAAAATATGAGAAGACACTAGGAATAGATTTTAGAATACGGGATATAACAAGAAATGAATTAGTATCATAGAGCTTACAGAAAATTGAGTGTATGTAAATATAGTAGGGGTGACGAAACACTGTTTATACAACCATTGAGAAGGAAAAAGTACTGGATATCTATCCCATTCTAGCAACACACATCTATCACTCGCACCAGAAGTCTAACCGGTAGTGTATCTAACCTTTAGATAGGTAAGTTACAATCCGATACTACACATTTCTTGCTCTAATTAGTTCGCAATATCGCTCAACAATCTTCTGATGCCACTAGTGGGGAATAGTTGCACACCAGACATAAGTTTCGGTGGTTGTCTAACTAAGATCAGTTGATGATGTTGCCTACAAAAATTCAGCAATATCCACAAAGCCCTTTAGTTAATTGTGGGACACTGCTTGAAAACGGTATACATATCATGGAAACTTTTAAGAATGTTTGAGAAAAGAAACTATCTGTAAATGTGGTTCTATCGCAAAGAGAAAATAATAACTAAACCAATTAATCATATACTCAGTTAATCATATACAGCGTAGAACTTTGAACATACATGAATCACTTCAATTACTCACACCACATTGGCGAAATGAAATCATCACGCAGTAGAAATAGTACCAGTATCAGTGATAATTGAAAACAATAGGCATTGATATTTTTTGAAATTCAAAAGATCTAAGGAAAGATAAGGGATGTATCCATGTACACTACTACGCTAGATTCTGAGCGAAGTTACGACAATCATACGGACCCCAACGTGGTAGTTAACATCTACTTACATGATAAAGTAAAACTATCAGTGACTGAATGGACTGATACCTATCCTTGGTTTGTTCATCCCTAGTTTCCTCTCAGCATACTACTCCTAAATCAGATAACATCGCCGGTCAAAGTAGGAGGTGGTCGGACGTATGCTATACATGCACAATCATGTCAGTTGGTGAAAATTCACTAACTCATTAACTGATTTGTCATACTTATGTGTATAACATTTCACAAGACAATATTAAATAACAATCGTAGCGTTCGATCTTTAAGGTTTCATAAGGAAAAAGTGATTATTCACATGTAATAAGAATATGTTTCTTTTAATATACTACACCACGAGAAAGCTAATGATAATTAAGTCAATAGAGAAAAATACCAGTACATTCAATTCCTCGAAATCCACACTAAGACAAAGAAAATGACTATATGCTTCAACATTTATTTATGTAAATTAAACAATTTTTTTACAGAAAAGTTTTATAGGTCGTTCAGCATTGCCGTCGATAACCATTAAAGTAAAAAAGTTTAGCTGGAAGAGCACCCAACGTAAATGTATTGGAATTTAGTTCCATATATAAGTAAGAGAAAGGAATAATTGTGAGACTGTTACCTAATTCTTGCTAACCATTCAACGACAAACACAACTGATTTTCACAACTATTTTTCACATATGTTAAAAACTATTCCATTAGAATGAACCAAACTATATTTTAATCATTTACTTTGTAATGATATAAATGAGTATAAACAGTACATCTGCTTTTAATAAACATGAAAGACAATAGGAAGATAAGAACATTATTTACCGAATAATGGAGGTCCACAAATTACACCAAGGCCTTGGAAAATAAGTAAATATCCAAATGCATTTGTCAGACGATGAAGACCAAATAACTCAACAAGAATAACACTTCGTAAAGAAATTGATATGGCTGAAAATGAAAAATATAGATCAAAAATGGCAAATAATACAAAACAAACATGACAGAGCCGGATCGATGATGTAGCGTCAGAAATGTTTCTCAGTGGTGATCAAATTATAACAAAGTTTAGTCATGAAAATAATGCATATCAAACGATCTCTACAACAACAAAATTGATGAACAAGTAAATCTCAACTGTCTGAGCTTATCATATCAGCAAGTGAACTAAATTTAATAACACAAAAGGTAATTATTTAATCAGAGCGGGACATGCTATCCTTTGGTTTCCTAGAAGTTTCAAGGATTTTTCTATTAGATATTGATTGGAAAAAATGTTTTTCAGATCTGTTCTGACTTTTGCAGACGTTTGCAAATAATACTCGGAGGATCTTGAGCAACAAACAAATTAGCAAACAGTCACTTTTATATATAATGAGAAATCTAACGTTGATATTATAAGGCAGATCATTTTTCTAAGACTCACAGAATTGGTCACAGCTTTGAAAAATGAAAATATGCTATTGATTAGTAGTGAATTAAGTCCTAACGCCAAAATGAAAATGAGTACACCAACGAGTTAATTTGATACTTAGCATAAGGAACATTTACGCATCAAAATCTATCCAAAATTATCGACGTTACTTTATCCAACATCTGATTATATTTATATAACGTTTGGTACCTATATTAATTGTTACTCTGGTCTTTAGAAAAGGCATCCGCCTCGTGAGTTCTGAAAAATATCGTTTACCATAAAGCGTCATAATTCTTCCGGATGGAAATCCTTCAACTCCTAAGACAGAGTTTAAATAGCATAAATTGTTTATTCTAGTTAGCGATTTCTTAGCAAGGTTGTTTCCTACAAGATGGGATTGCTGACCCCATACCCAACCTTCATCCTTTACTTGGACTTGGGACCGGCAGTAACCTTAGAACTACAGGCCGAGTGTAGCAACAGCCTCTGCATCAGTATGCCTCAACATTCACAAGGGAAAAACCAAGATCCTCAAATACAACACGGAGAAAACCAAGTCAATCACACTTGATGGAGAAGCTCTGGAACAGATGGAAACTTTCACGTACCTGGTCAGCATCCTTGATGAACAAGGAAGATTTGATGCAGATGTGAAGGCACGGATTGACAACGGTAACAAGGGTAGCATTTCTACAATTGAAGAACATATGGGACTCAAAACAACTGTCAGGTAACATCCAAATCACAATCTTAAATACAAAAGTCAAGACAGTTCTATTGTATGGAGTCGAGACATGGAGAACTAACACAACCGTCATCAAAAGGTAAAAGTATTTATAAACAGTTATTTACACAAGATACTCGATGTCCGTTGACCAGATACCATCAGCAACAGTCTGCTGTGGGAGGAAAAAATCAGCTTCCAGATTAAGAGTAAACTAGGAAAAGATGCTGGAGGTGGAAAGGAAACGCATTGAGGAAATCACCAGACTGCATCATGAGGTAAGCCCCCAACGTGGAATTCTGAATGGAAACGGAAAAGAGGATGGCCAAGAAACTCATTGTGTCTGGGATTGGAAGCAGACATGAAAAGGATGAATAGAAACTGGGAACATCTGGAAAGGATTGACCAGGACAGAGTTGGATGGGGAATGTTGGTGGGTGGCCTATGCTCCTCCATAAGCGGTATTAGGCGTAAGTAAGTATTAGTTTGGTTCAAAAATGGTAAGTGGAACAACGACCAATTGTAAAATATGAAACTATTATCCAGTAAACATAATAGTTAAAAGAAGTTAGGTTTTAAATGACTTTCGGATGTTTTAGGTAGAAATAATTGTGTAATTAATAGTAGGAATAGCCCGAAAACCTAAATATTCATTTGAACTAATTTTTCCAGTATGATGAGATGAATTTATGAAAAAGACAATTAAATAAAAAAAAATTTTTAGTGAGCCGATTGTAATCAAACAATGATACAATAATATAACTTACTATTAGTTAAACCATACATTATACTACCGAGATATAACAAATGACGCCGAAACTTTAAAGACCATGCTTGCATAAGGCGTTCAGACGAAGACTGGTCCGAATTTTTTGTCAACAGAATACCATGAATTGCTAATGGAAATGAGATAACTGAAAGTCCACAAACAATTAAAGCGAAATTGTTCAGGAGCATAGGATCTACCATTAGAGGAAACCGACACAAAAATTTTCGATTTGTATTCAAACCCTTTTCAATATACAATCCTGTATACGGAAAAATACAAAATAGTTATTAATCTACTAAAGTCATATACTAACAGATGTTTGAGTGGACAGTAATTAAGGCTCAAATAAATTCAACAGAAATAAACCAACTAGAAAAGAAATTACCTCTTGCATTCCCTAAAACTTTATTCACCAAATAGCAATATTAAAGTATGTATTATAATGTCATATTGAGTAGTAAGGTTTTGTTAATTATTTGTTTGTTTTCAGTTTCATCAGGCCAGTAACCTTCGATTATAGAAATTTTCATAATTTGAGGGTTTTTGATACAGGCTAAGATCAACTGAGAACTATTGAAAACCAAAAAGTATTCGATTGTTATTTGGAACTCCTCAGCAGTATCGATCGACTACACAACATCAGATCTAATACAGAATTATCAGTTTCATCTGAGATCATGGAATTAAATAACTACTAGGTAAGAATTCAATCCCCTGCATTTTCCGATTTGAGTGGACTCACGACATTGGATGATCACTTTCCAACGTTATTAGTAACAGTTAGAATTAAAACTTCATTATTCGAAAAGTAACTTAAGACCATATCATATGGAACTTTTCTATTAATATAACCATCTAAATTAGTAACACAGTAATTTCTATCGTTTGATATCAAACAGAGTTCTCGTGAGTAATTATCCAGGTCAATCAACTCAGTCTAGTTATTGCACAACCACCATAGATCCTTTCATAATATTTTACGAAAATGATATGATATTATAACCGGTATGTTAAAGAATAGCCGTCTATTTAATGACAGCTACAAAATATTTTCGAAGAATGCATAATGTAAAAGTTTGCCAGTCAACATTAATCTTGGTAGTGAAAATGAAATGGATTTGCCTAGTATTTAATTACAATTAATAATTGTTTGGTGTATTGAGACAATCAATTAGTCTAAGACAAAGAAACCAGATTGAATATTAATTTACAGACCTTTTTTCATGTCAGTAATAAAAAACATCTCTGTGTATAAGTGTAGTTTACAAGAATTAACCAGCACACCTGTTAGCAATATAATGACAAGTTATTTTTCCCTCAATACACTACACCAAATCTTGAAAATAATTTATGCTTCATGCATAGGAAAAATTATAATAAACTGATCCATAACTTGAAACTAAATCCAATTTTACGCTTGAAATGTAGCTCAATATGGAAAAACAAAAAGAAGAAAACTAAATTGTAATAAACACTAATGATGTTGTACAGAAAATCGTCCCCTAAGTATTGATTAGGGAAAATGCATATTTTGAAAGCTTGTGTACGATAATTTATGCATACTTCATCTCAAACCAATGTAAACAAAATATACTTATGACAAAAAAGATACTTTTAAGTATGGAAAAAAACATGGAGCAGTTGGGTATGATAAAAATTCATCTGATAAAAGATATACAGATAACAAATAAGGAAGAATCATCAGTTATCATAAAATAGTATAAGGATATGAAAACCAGGTTTATATGAATGAATAAAAAAAAAAAAGATTAATGAGTAGTAAATAGTTATGGGTAAAATAATATGTATCTAATATTTTGAGGAAGATGAGGGGAAAGTATATTTATAAAAATATTTTTCTAATGAATAATTAAGTGATAACGAATCAGGACTATTAGGTAACAAATGAAGGCTTGAACCTGAAACCCAATGATTAGAATTTAACTACCAACGGTTATTCAGCTAATCTCAGTTGCCAGAATACCTTGGTATTAACTTTAGTCATTGTTTTTCACTTGAGTAAAACGTAAACATTGTTTCTTATGAGTTCAATTAATAAATGTGTCACCTAATTATATAATACCATTTACTTCTAGTTCACTCATTACACACTTAGAAACAAACTACACAGCTTTTACCGTTATCCTATCCTCAGAAGTTGATGCAAAATCAAAAGAAATCATTTGAATTAATCTAACTTCTGAAAATCATCTAGAGAATTGTTACTATTAAATATAAACCATCCTTTTTCCCAAACAAATAAACACAATTAATCAATAATGAATAGAAATAAACAGATGTAATAATTACACACAAAAGTTTAATAAACTTAGACTTAAGAGGATCAGAAATGTGCTCCATAACATAGAGAAGTAGAAAATTTGAAGCTTCTTTCTATATTGCTTTTATTGTTATTTATTATTATTTATTTGAACACATAAATATTGGAACAAGATGGCACCTAATATATACGCACCACCCCAAACAATGAGAATTCGAAGAGAAAAAAAGAAGATAAGGAGCGTAAAAAGAGAACAATAACGAACAGACTAGTGTAAGGTAGTGTAATAATAATAATGGGGAAAACGGAAAGTGGTATCTGTCCTGCGACCAACAAGTCCCCATCGACCACCTAAACGACTCTCTTATGTGCCTAGACGCCTGACCTGAGCATTCAAGTCTCTGGCTAGTACTACAAAGTCTGTCGAACGCACTTTCTAGAGAAGAACAGATAACCGGTGGTAGAATTCATCCTTGATTGCATCCGGGCTGCAATCTGTCGGAGCATAGGCGGAGATGACGAAAAGACATCGGTTCTCACGCCGATTCCTTCTCACTTTGATGGAACTTTTTAATCTAACAGCACATAACCGAATGTTAATGGGGATCAAATCAATTAGTGTTGCCTCAGCTTTAGCGCTTAGTGCGACACCAACGCCAGTAAGACTAGATGAAGATGCCACAGGGTCCCCGAATAAGCGCACGTAAAACAAGCTTTTCGAAGCGACAGATGAAGAGCGAATTTGTAGTACTTCACCAGAGTCTTGAATACGGGTCTCGGGTAGACAGCAGACATCGATATTAAGACTTTTCAAAGACACAACCAGCCCTATCTGTTGTCCGACCTGCTTTTATTGTTGTCGAAATGAAAGATAAAAGAAATTTGTGACACAAACTAATTTTAGCTTACTATTGGCAAATCAATTTCTTTTCTACTCACTCAAAAATTCCGAATGAACCACTGATAAAAATTGAATAGTTTGGTTAATATCTTGCCTGAATCACTGATGGTATAAAACAAATAAGCTTTGTAAATATTTTAGGACATTATTAGTGTCCAATCTATTATGGTGAATGAAACTCCTAAAGTATATGGAATTAAACGACCCACGCTATAATGTAACGTTTCACATTTTAATATTAATATTATTAAATGAATTTGTCAATGTTTAAAACAATCAAATACATTTGCAATCAAAAAAGTATATGATTCACCTGCAAATAAACGACCAAGAATACTAGCACAACCAATCGTTAAAAAAAGGGATTCTGAACTAGGAAATGCATAGTTTCTCTTTAAAGCGTTGATATATTTAACAGTTGATTGGTCAAACTGACCAGATGTTCTATTATATTTAATCTCATCGGTCAATCCATTCGGACACCAAAATGAATTAAAATAACATTCAAGACCACCGTAATCCAATAAAAGTGGAAGGTAGTGAAATGGAACTAGAAAAACTGTAACGAGGAGGAAGAAATAGAAAAGAAAATAGTATAAGGAAAAAAGTTGGGATATTAAAGAAATGTAACTTCATTTAAATATGTAAATTGTAGCCATGGACGTCAAACTCACTGATTCGTTAAACTAGCAAGGAAATCGATCCCTCAGATAGTAAATATGGCATTTCAATTTATTAATAAATGAATAAAACAAGATATGCAACTACACAGGATTTTCTAGGATATGATTAGATTAGTGATTCATTGGTTAAGGTATTCAATGTCTAGTCACTAATTGAAACATTAGTACTACCTCATGCTGATCGCAATTACAATAGCCTAATAACATCTCCGCTACTCAAGTAGGAATTGTAGTCTAAAGACCTATACTTAAATCTTTACTTATTTACTGAGTTACATTATTAGATGTTGACCAGCGATTAAAAGCGAGTTCAGAAACTGGGTTTATCGCTGATTTTTATCTGTCTCAGAGAAATCCATCCAAATAAAAGAGAATAATGGATTTTATCAAGAAGCGTCATACTTTGTACTTTTCTATTTGTGATTCAAATGCAGTACATTTGTTGACAATATCAAAAGTGAAGTTTGCATACTGAATGATACAGAAAAATTGTGCTTAAGAGCACCGAACCTAGTGGTATATAGTTAGTAAAGATTTTTTACAACCATTGAACTCATTTCAATCATCCTCTTTTTAATGGTTTATGGGTATTCTTCTATCAAAAAAAGAGATTACAAGATCACTCGCATATTTTACAGTTATTAATCAATTTTCTTATGATGAAGTAATATCTTTAACATCACACAGATAAATATCTGGATGAAAAATATGATTATTAGTTAGTATTCTCTTGCTAGAATAAATGAACACTTGATAAATATAATTAGTATGCAGGAGAATAAAAATAAATGTAATTTATTTACATTGAAAAGAGGTATTCATCACATACAATTAAGTTATTCCTATAGTAACCATCACAAATATTATCTTATTCTAACGGAGAGACGAAGGTATTAAAATTATTTCTACTATATAAATTCACAATAAATTATAGTATTCAATTAATGGATATGTAATTAATAAATGAAGCCTAACTCATAATCATGATATCGGATGATATTTCTTTTAGAAATTCGACATTAAAAAAAAACATATATGATACATTCAACGAACTTTGATAATTAACTAGAACCAAATCTTCATAAGGATTTTCCTTAAATGACTATACTGACTCAAGTTGACAGAGGATAAAATATAATTAAATAACTTCAGTATTTTATACATTACTGTTTAAGAAGAAACAGAAACTTAATCACAGGACGTTCTTGTTATTCATTACAATCAATTAGAAAAACTAAGTACACTTGAAATTAACTGCTATATACTTATCAGTAACCAATTAAAAAATATTAGCACTATCACTGTTTATTTTTAAAAAAAACCGGAAAATTTTGAAATTCACTCTTACCCAACATATTTACAAAACAGGCGATTGAAATAATAATAAATGTAAAACTTTTAAGTATTTGATTATCTAACATATCTGCAAGATAGGAGAATAATTCATTGATTTTTGGTGAAGTAATAAATTTTTGAAGATTAGAAATACTCTTATTTTGTTTTGATGAATGAATAAGTACGTCAAAATTTTGATTATCAGGTATAAGTGATTTATTTCGAGTTAACATGATATTCTCTACAGGAATAACACCTTCGAATAGATTTGGACATTGATTTACAGTGGGATTATGTGATTGAATTGTCAACTCTTTTAAAGCATAATTTGCCTGTATCGAAAAAAAGAAAGGATCAATAAATTAGACAAAAGAACAAATCATATACAATTAGCAGGTTGGTAAAAAAACGAAACAGAGGATACAAAAAGCAAGACTACTAATTTTATTGTGAGACAAATTTTCATGTCTATTAAGCTTGATAACAAAAAGTACAAAAAACAAGAATTATAGTATAAGAAACCGCATCAAACTTGACAAGTGGTAAACAATCTTATGTATTAGCATATTAATCAAATACAATTCGACATCATATCTTTTATATTATATTCAGTGATATTTATGTTGATATTTGGTGTTTATTAATCAAACAGCAAAACATTTTTTGTAAACTACTGTTCTGTTTAGTGCTAGTGATGAAGATTCTTTCAAGGAGTCAGTCAGCCAGTCAGCTACAACGTAGGACCAGGCACATATATGCTTCGGTCTAAGTTGCCATACCTCATTAACACAATAAGATGGACACCGGATTCATAAAAGTAGTTAATTCAGAGGTGGTAATATATAAAAGAAGGATTGTGTATAAGGATATAATACAGGAAAGAAGAATTAGTTCGTAGAAAAAAAGATATGAAGCGATTTTAATCTCTTAGTTTAAGGGAAGACAGAAAGTGTATACACCGACGCCATTGTGATCGATTCTGTGCCATGTCACCAAGAGTCTCCAACCATTGGTTACGATAGTCACGCGGACCCCAACCAAGTAGTCTGCATCTACCAACATGGCTCAGACTAGTAGTTATTGACTTCAAGCACTGATGCCACGTTTTGGTTTGGCCGCTCCTAACTTTCTCAGTCGATGAAGGTTCACAAGCTCATCAACTGATTTACCATCATTCCCTAATATCATGCGTCGAACCTTACTATTACTTACCCGGTAATCCCAGCAGACGCCAGCAATATTTCTAAGGCATCTGTGGTCAAATACTAGTAGCTTACGAATATCTTATCAACCAAATAACAAAATCTACTTCATCGTTCACTTCACTTCAAAGTCTTTATGTTACTCCTACTCGTCTTTCAAGGAGGAACATAAAGACTTTGAAGTGAAGTGAACGATGAAGTAGATTTTGTTATTTTTTTGATAAGATCGATTTTGCGATAATCAATTTATTCGCTGAACATACAATTAGGAACGTATTTCAATGTTCTAATTTACTGTTTTTTTTAATTAAAGTGTTACAATGGTATAAATCATTTAACAAAAGGTTAAAAATTCCCCATAAGGATAAGTTCTCATTCAATAATTTATGTGTGTAAGAGATTGATACAACAACTTTCAAGTATCTCTTGTTATAAGGTAAACATCATTTTATCGACCATACTTCATGTAAAATTTAGTTCAGTTAAAGTTATTACATCCGTTTCAAGTGAAATTTGAAATAAAAATAGCCTCGAAAATAAAAAATAAGTTCTCAGATATTCAGTTTTATGAGTAAACAGGAATTTACTGAATGACGACTGTAGTCAAACTGTTGAGGCGAGTTCAATTGTGTATTCACAGTCTACATATATTACCTTGAAAATAAGTGGATACATCTTTACTGAAATTCCTGAAGTAATACACAGAAATGAGATAATATACAGTGAACCTAAACAACAACCAAGTCGACTTATTTCGCACCATTTACCAGTGTAATGACATTTAGAATATTCGGGTCACAAATTAACTTCTTAAGTTATCTTTATTGTCATAAGTCAGCCTATCAATTACAAGCGACTTAGAATCTGGCACAAAAATCTATAGGGCCAAGTTGCAGCACAGTGAGCAGTATTATGACCTGAAATGAGAGATTTGAGAATTACAGTATTTTTCTGTACCGGAAGAAGCATGAGGGAGAACGATACAAGTTAGTTTTCTAAGTAGAAAAATGTTGTTCGCCAAGTACAATAATAAACATTGTCTGTAATTCACAGACTTCTGTGTCATAATCTCTTAGTTAAGCGAACATAACTAATTGATTGTCGTCTGTCGTTAGAAAAATAAACGTGAAGATAACAAATTCATGTATCGTGAACAAAATTTCGACAAAATATTGTTAATTTTGATGAAATAAGTTTGTGTGTATATGAACGTAGTAAAAAACAAAAAACAAGTCATATGAATTGTTCTGGATAAAGCCTATTTTTCATTGGTTTAAAATTGCCATCAATATAGGTCATATGAAACAAAGACTAAATGCATAAATTTTTAATTGGATATTTATATATATATATATATATATATATATATATATATATATATATATATATATATATATATATATATATATCCCAAAAAATCAACTGTTGTAATAGGGCGTTTAAAGGTCATATTCAAAACTCAGTCATTTCGGCTGTTATCAAAATCTGGAGATACGATAGTATTATGTTACCATTATTACGACTAAGCCTATATGAACATTCATACTCCGGGCACAAGATGATCACCCGATGATAGTTAGTAATAGTTGCGATGCTCATTCTCAACTCTTCGGTATAAGAAGTAAATGATCACTAATATAAATAACTCTATTTTATTAAAATGTATTGTATTTAGGACTGTTAGACAACGGCGACCAGAATGAATTCTCACACTCATCCTTTGCAATTATTAACTGGATATATTACCGTATTAAAAAGATATAACTAACCGGTTGGTATATATAAATACAAATAAAGAAACAGTATATTCTGAAGATTTTTATCTTAAGTAATTTATAACCGTTTAATACTACTTATTAGAAACTTCTCATACAAGTACTCAATGTTTAAAAAGAAAAACGTCATACTATTCAAGTGGTTGATTTTTATGGTTACATAATAATAAATAGACAAATATTAAAACTATATACGAGTGTTATATGAAATAAATTTTGCAATATTTTAAGAAATTCCGGCCAATCAAAGTTTTATTACAAACTACTTCTGTATAACCTAAATCAATAGTTCAGAAAGAGTTTGTGTAACTCCTTTCTCTCTCTTTAACATTTCCATCAGCATACGTGTGAATTATAACAGAACTTTGGTTCACTCTACTGTTTTTTAAAGAAAGGAATTATATGAAAAAATTTGATAAAATCGAAAAGATCAATAAAATTACATAGAATTTGTTTAAAGGAGAAAAGTGAGAGTGCATTCATAAAATAATATTAACATTTATTATTTATGTTTCGAAAAAGTATGTATGTAAACTTACATCACATGGTAATTGTTTAGATGTTGTATATTCAGGCACATGATACAAGGGAAGTTTATGTTTATTACCAGCGTAGAAAAAATCTGGACGATATTTTGGACGACTTAACTCACGACGTATATCATTCAGTATAGCTAGTTTAATAGATTGATCTAACAGAAGACTATTCAATTCACGTGATATAATATGCCCTGTATAAGAATCTAAACTGATTAAAGATGTTAGTGCTGAAGGTGAATCAGGTGTTGATAATTTCAATCGAATATGCTTGAAAGGAATAAAAAAACATACATGCATATTTATATACATTTATAAGCATAATGAAAACACAAGCAATGTTCACTTAAAATATTTCTATAAATTTAAAGATTTTGAACTAATTAAGAATTGTTTCATTCTTTTATTAAAAATTTAAATACTATATATTTTAAGATATATTTTGCTTCACTCTTAGTATCTGCTGAGATGAGAAATTAATTTATCCACGTTTTTCATTGTTACACGTCATTTCTTTCATCAAAGAATGACTACGATGATATAATACTAATCCGTATTACTGCAATAACATTTCCTGTTATGTAATTGATTACTATCGCTTTTAGTTTGTTATATCTGTTACATCCATCATGGTCATTGTTCGTTACCATGAAAATCAGAATTATTCTTTTTCAATTTTTTGACTTCTATATGGAATATAAAGTTATCCAGAAAATGCCATCTCTTTATTAGCGGTGTGAATTATTAATGTAGAAGTGTTGTGCAAGTTACATAGGGTCTATTCAAGTTCTTATTCGTTGTATAGTATTAGAATCGACCTCAATTATCCATCAATAGACTTAAGCGTGGGTCAATCAGAAACCCGAATACCTTAATCGTTATTGTCGTGATATAACAGTGTCAAATCAACCTGCGAGTCAAGTCTTCTCAGTGTTGACGAAAGTTTCGAAATAACATTAAAATGATTTTAAAGTGTGACGTGGAATGTACAGTGTTCATCTTAGGTTTAAGTTATCTTTCATAATGTGCTGGTTATAGAATTAGAATGAAATAAAGATATAGGGTCAATAAACTAGACAATAGTCGATTTTAATAGAAATCCTGTGACACAACAAATTGTTAACAACTGTATAAAACTGTATATGTTTTCATTTAACAGACAAAAGTACTTGAAGACTATCAAAAACATCTGTAGCATTGACTCACTGAAATGATTTTATCATCTAGTCGGTCATTTCGCTTACTGACGATTAGCCTTTTCAAAAATGTTTGAAAACACAGGCATTAGACTTTCATTATTGATATTCTTGCTTGCAGTAACAAATGACATACAATAGTTCATTTACACTTTCAAAATAACTCCGATATAGTAATAAAAATGAACTTCCGAATGATTGCGTGATTCATGTTCTTTAAGTCTTACCTTGGCCGGGAACTGCCATCAATTATATATGATTAATAGGTTGACGAAATCCCCAAACGGATACAAATAAAATAACCGTTTAACACTCATCATGTCCTGTCAAGAGCTATGCAGGTGACAGATGATTACTTATCACAGAGTATTTAAATGTGCAAGACAAGTAATGATTAATGGATGCATCAAAAGCATCTCACCCACGTGATGGAATTTATGTAAAGTGAAACCGCACGAAAATATAAACCTTTATCCACTATAATAAAACTGTAAGGTGGTGGTTGAAGTTAGTCAACAGGATACTTTGAACCTAGGTTTCGTGTTGTTATGGACTTGTTAGCAAGATATACCTGTAATCTTGAGGTAGCTGATGCTCCGTGGAGTGTTCATCCATGTGTCGCACAGATTCACAGTCAAGGACCTAACTAGTGGGCTATCCGGACTGCCAATGAACTTCTATAAAACTAGGACGTATTTACAATTGATTGGTAACTACTCAGTGACTAATGTCGTGTATATCAAGTCCTATTTGCTGCTGAATGAATTTAATCGATCAATCACCACCTTACAGCTACACATAGTGCGAGCGATGTCAAGTCACATAGACTAGTGACCACAGTGTAAATTGATCAATAGACTTCAATCAACATTAAGGACTTGACATATATAAAATTGGTTAATACACAGTGACCAATCAATTGCGAACCAGTGCAAAAACAACAAGTGTGTAATTCTATCTAAACAAAAGTTATGGAATAAGAAAAGAGGCACACGGTATCATGGAAGAAAAATGAAGGCGAGTTAGAGAATTGAATTTTCTTTTTGACGATTCCATTTGCTTATGCCTTACAATCGCATTTAAAGTTAACTTTATCCGTTAAAATAGTATTCTATAATAAGATAGAATGATGCTAAATATGTAGAAAATTTGAAATGATATGTTATCAAGACTTGAAAATCAGATATTCAAAGGAAGTTATGTGGTAATCAGTTGATGAGAAGTGCAAAGATAAAGATAACTGTCCACTTGACAGCTATTAAGAGCAGAATAATTAAAATCGTAATGATGGTTAATTAATAGTTGTGAAAGTATTTGGAAGGGAAGAGAAATAATGAAACAAGAGACGATAGATTCTAGAAGACAAAAATTCAGGTAGGACTGAACATACTGTTTTTGTACACAGAGGTTAGGCTTGAACTTGTGAATAGCAATAGTTTATTTTGCATATAATTTTTTTTTTCATTTTCATTCCTTTAGAGCCGACCTTTCTGACTGTACGTGTGGTTTTGAAGGAGACTTTCGGTGAAGTAGAGTGATCGGAATTCACTGTAATCCTTTGAAGAGTCAAGCAGGGTTATGTTATGAGACGCGTTTCGAAAGCGCTCACTTTGGGCGGACAATATAACCTGCTAAACATGAGCAAGTATGGAATAAATAAGTAATGCGTATATGGCCGCTTTCTTACAGTGTACAGATAAAGTTTATTAAAAAAACAAATAGTATTGAATAAATGCTTCATTTACATCCAAAATAAAACTAGTTATTTGTAAAAATCAATCTAACAATCAGAAAGTATGATATTGATTTTATGATATAATAAATAATTTGTTCATCAGAAACGTATTTTGGTCTTGTTTGAAATACAACTGATCTCAACATTACGGACTAAGGAGATCTACACAGAAGTAAAAACCACTGGTAAGTGTTTCTTAAAAATTTACCGATTTTTACAGCAAATTCAGTTTTGATGTTTACCTTTGAATGAAATAAATTACAAAAATAACTAGTATGTGGTAGGGGACATCAGTTATCTGAGAAAAACAAAACTTTTCTCAAATGTAATGTGAATGAATGCTGGATGTTGTAAATAAACCCTCCTATAGTTAATTAAAATCGCTTTTTGTCGAGGATAAACAATAATCTAAAGAGCTGTCTAAACTCGGGGCACACTAGACAGTTATTTCATCTAGGTTTGAAATGTTTCCCTATTCTGCACTAAAACATCACGATATCAAAATTTGGACAACTAGGCTCATTGAAATGAAATCAAGATGTTCACATTACCAACTACAGTCAACAAAAGATATAGGTGGATGGTCAACATTTCATTGATAATACTTATCCTGCCCCCGACAAGATGAAACTCAGCAATCAAAACTTCTAGCTAGGACTTCGGGAACACACCAGAATGCTAAAAACAAGCTAATGAAGACTATCTTCCAAGTGAACAAACAACAAACCACTTTACAAAACATATTATTTCAATAAATTACACTACCAACTAATTCGCAATCTTTATCATACATTATGACAATGGGTAAATAATGCCTAGTAAGTAAATATTCCAGTTAAGTATTGTTCTATAAAACAAAGCGAGAATGAAATCCTACAAATTTAGAAAATAATTATCTCAAACAATAAGATAATACATACAGATTCTTGTGCAGAGATAGAACGGTTCACTGCTGTTGATAAATGGCGTACAGGGCAGATGAAGCTACCGAATCTCTAGCGTTTGAAACCAATTCACTATACAAAGAGGAGGCACATAAACTTCTTTTTCCTTTCCAGATATTTGTAGCTGCTGATCCATGGCATATATCATATAGATAAACTTGACTGACTCTGTCATAATGAACATTTCGTGAACTATTTGTATATGGTGTACTAAAATTTGCACATGAATCAATACGATTATCACCACTAAATCGAAAAGATGATGCTATAACTTGTCTTGGACCAGTTGATATAGAAGTAATTGATGGTGAAAACGGCAGTCTACTTTGTCCGTGTAGTTTTTGTAAGATTGCACGTGCTATACGTCGTACAGCAGCACGACTGAACTGCACAGGCGGAGGAAGTACTGCAATACAAGGCTAAAGTAACACACAGAAGCAAATGAAAGAATTACAATTTGTTTAATTACAAGTGAAATCAATAACAAAATGAAACTGCAAACAATATTTCAAATTATAAGCAAAAATTAAATAAAGCACATTTCTATACGACTAGCTAACGCTTGTTTAACAGAAGAAATCAGGTTCAAATATCTGACAGAGCTTTTGTCATCTTTATTGGAATTTTCGCTAAATCATGATAGACATATGCGTCTCTAATCACCTTCATATTTATAAATATGTCAATATAAGTAATTACTTTGATTTTAAGTTGTAAGCAGCTGATGAGAACATAACGAAATAAAATGAATTCATATTATTCTGCGCCAATCTTTGTTTTCGCTCCTTAAGATTATAAAGGAAACTTTGTTTATGGAAGGTGACTGGCTAAATACTTAAACCATTCTTTCATAGCAAACTGAAAAATATGTACACATCAAAACTATAAGACTGCTTCAATACGATGATTGTCGCATTATAGAAATGTACTATTTTAAGAAATAAAATTAATCATGGATATTTGTAATCATAAATCGAACCAGGGAGGTTAAACAAATAAACTGAGACAAACATTGTCAACAAACAGCCTAGTACAGGTGTGCGTAGGTTCAATTTGGCATAACTGATTAACACGAAATGAAAGCAAAAAAAAGATCGAAATATTACAGTAGTGACGATACGAGTAAAGACTAAACCTTGGAAATATAAGTTGAAAAGACAGAGAGCAAAAGTATGTATGAAGGCATACTCAAGGTCAAGACCGAAAGGAGGATAAAGAGTAGGTATATCTGAGCCATTGCAAGAGATTCTGAGCCGTATCATCCACCGTCTGGACCAATTTCTTGAATATCCTATGCTTAACCTCGACAAAGCTCACCCAATTGTTCTGAAAACCCAAACAATGCTTCACAGACACCTTCGGTCGAAAACTTTAAAGCTACTCATGTCTACTTTCACAGACCATGTCCCATACGAATAAATTGGAACAGAAGGGACTAATACGTAATACAAACGCCATTTGTTTGTGAAATGGACATTTCGCCTATGTTATGAATTATTCAAGATATCAAAAACCGATCGGGTTTTCCGAATCCAGGCCATGATTTGGTCTGACACCAACTCATTGTGGCTGATGAGGCTTCTAAGATAAGTAAAGTGGCCAACGCATTCAATTACTTCACTACCAATAACTAGTCCGTGAGTTTCAGATAAATTCCGAAAAAATATTTCGGATGTAGAGGGAGATAAATGCATCACAGACGTGCTAGCGTTGTTGCTAAATGCGATCAAAAGACTCCGCACCATGTTCGAGTCTGCAACAACCAGGACTGTCATAATCTTTAAAGGCCTTTGCAGTTAAGTTATCAGGACCCACTGCCCTCTCTCTAGAAGGTCACGTAACCAGAGAATGAATACAAATACTATGTGCAACTTTACAGGCAAGAACGAGTTAACATGAACTTGTACGCTTCAAAAGATATGTTACAGATTTATGATAAATATTTATAAAGCTATGAACCACTAGAAATACCGTTATTATATCTACATCATACAACATCCTATCTATTGCTCAAAGGGTCAAAGAATTTACTTATATGTTATGTACGCAACGTTATATCACCATAATCTTATCAAGTGGATATCGAAATTTCATTAACAATGTGACTACAGACAGGAAAATATAGATAATAATAACAATCCGCAATTTTTTACAATAATTTATTGGAAACCTGTTTTCTCACAATTACTATCCCCTACTCAGATTTTTTAAATTGTGTAATATATAATCAATAGTTCTCCATTAGTAAAAAGAGAAATGATTGAAGAAAACAACAGCACAGAGCATTAAAAAATTGTATTCAAACACCTGTTTTAGTGTAATTCAAGCAGTTTTATTTTGTTTATTCTTAAGAAATAAATTCTATCCGAAATTATTAAAATGAATGTTGAATTATTTTACTAAAGAGTACTTTGTTATGTAATATGCAGTTGGTGGGACAAGTATTTGATGGCTTTACAAAAGTAAATAGATCATTCATTTAGTTCGAGTCTACCGTCTACATTTCCTGCTATAAGTCAATCCTGTCGCTTAGATATACATAATGAGTTGTCGAATAAGTATTAATTCGCTTTTCATTATACAGTTTTCTACGAGACCTTTGTTTTCTCTCTGCCCATTGGATTGGTCAGGAGTTAATAGTGTGGAAAAAAACTGAATCATACCGGAGATCATAACATATATTCAAGTTCCATAAGCTACAGTTAGCAGAAAGTATATTGCTGAACGGTATACATCGATAAGATTATTGACTTGTTCAGGTCCCAGATTACAAATTTTGACATAAGTAGAGAATGATCAAAATGGTATGAATACTTAGTGTAGGCAATAATTCATTCTCAGTTTATATTTTTAATATGCGCTGGCACTACAGATCAGAATAACTATTTCTCCTTGTTTGTGAATCATATGCTACGGTTTGATCTTAACCCATAACAGAAACCGCAGCATACAATTATGAGTGTACAATGAAAACGAGGTAAATAATCATTTATTTATTTTCAATATATAATTAGCCTAATTGTACATTTCATTTTATCCTAATTATTTTCAACTATTAAATATTTCTACACAACCATCATATGAAGTCTTAACGACTGCAGAATGTTTCATTTTTTTGAAATTATGACTGTTGAATTATATCGTTATAAATATGATGATCAACATCACTGAATCAATAAATAGAAAGTTATATTAACCGGTTACAGAACAAAAAACAGTTCAGTCGATTAACATATATATAGTTATTTGAAAACAAATAGTATGAAGTTTCAATGATTAATTATTTGAATAAGGGATTAACACAGAATAATATGAATTTATTTTTATTTTGTGGTTTCTTTTGTTCACAAAAGTGAGTCGATAAGTAAGCCTAAATGATTGGATACGTCAAGTACGATAAAGTGGGAAATAAATTCTGTTGTTTCTTACAACTTGGCTTCAAATAGAATGTAAGTAATGGATTAATTAACCACAGAATAAATGCAAGGTTTCCTAGACCAAACAAAAACTGACATTTTTCAAAATATTCAATTGTATTTACAATTTACAAGTACGCGTCAAAGCACATACACTGTAAGAACAGAAAAGAGAGTACATATTTGTAATCCTGAGCACATTCTAAAGAACTTTAGACTAAAAGGTATCACAGCTTCAAACAATGCAATAGTTCAACATTTTTAGTCAATACCGGTTACATTATCGACTTTCGCCGATCTCCCAAAATAGTTCACAGACAAAAAAGACACAAATTGTTTTACGTTTTACTGAAGCAGTAGCTATTAAAATACTCAAACCAAATTTATATATCCAAAAGGAGACAGTTGCCAATTTATAACTACTATGGAAAACTAATCATAATCGTGGTTTGTACTTTACTTAGCACCTATCTGTAATTCTCTCTAAATCTGACACTATTATTTGCGCAACATATAGTTTCAATCGTCAAATTATACATAATTATAACCTACGCCCCTGAATGTTTCCTACATCTAACCTGCGATGGTTTTACATAGACTGTCGGTTCAACAATTTTTAGGTCATTAATGTTTATCACTTAATACTGTTATATTTCAACACGAACATGATTGTAAGCGGTTGGTAAGCAATCAAGAAATAAAAATGAATCCTCATTATTCTTCATACTTTATTAACAAATTGTTAAAGGGAACTAATTGTGTGGAGTTTTATTAAATAATCGAAGCCGAAATTCTTCAGAAGTCACAAGGTCGATGCCCCTTCTAACAACCAGAGCAATAATTTTTATAGGTACATGGAATGTTTGAACAATGTGGAAGATTGGGAGGACCAACCAAACAGCTGTGGAAATGAGAAGATACAACTTGGCGAAATCAGCGAAACGCATTGGACACAAAATGGGAAGAAAAGGTTAGATTCGATAGAGATACCGATGTACTCTGATCACGAAGAGGAAAATGCTCCACATACTCAGGGAGTTGCTCTAATGCTGTCCAAAGTAGCATGAAATGCACTTGTAGGATGGGAATCTCACCGATCCAGAATCATCAAAGCATCATTTAAAACAAAGAAGAAGGGGATCACAACGAATATTATCCAATGTTATGCACCTACCAATGATAGCAACGACGACATTAAAGATCAATTTTATGAGAGGCTGTAATCGATTGTAGCGTGGCGTCGAGTTGTGATTAACTATGAACACCGCTACCAAGAAACACGTGCCAAATAGATCAGAAGGCGTAAGAAGCTCGTTCCAAATGACTCCATAAAATCCCGGAGAAGCCGAATACCAGAAGGCAATTAATGGACCAAGTCGAGTTATATTTGCTGGCGATCTCGTGGCATCGAAAGGATACCGAGATCGTGCCAGGATACAACCTTGGTTACAGAAGGTAACCGAATTCGCGCGAAGTTACAATCAAAGTGTAAGTAAGTGAATGGAAGCAAAATATAGCTGTCATTAGCACAGTCAAACAAAAGCACATTAAAACAAACACTGGTACAGTTGGTTATAATAATAATTGTTTCTATTAAACCAGTCGTGTTCTCGTGATAAACGTGAGTCACTACACGATCATAGAGAAGTGCCCTGAGAAGAACCTGATCATCCTGATGGGAGACCAAAGTTGGGATGGACGACAACGGGTACTAAAATATCATAGAACGACATGGATTAGGAGAAAGGGACAAGAATGGAACCTTCTTCGACCCTACGCTGTACCTGAAATCATCAAAATCATACGGGATTCATGCAATGGACTACACTGCGAAGCCATGCATGGAGGACAACTGGCAGGAGCATTTAAAGGATTGACCAGGACAGAGTTGGATGGAGAATGTTGGTGGGCGGTCTACGATCATAGGGTTATTCTGAACTTAGTTTTCATCAACAATAGACATTCACAGAAAGAATTGCTAAAACTGAAAAATATTTCTAACTATCTAAGGAAGATGGATCATTTGTTTTGATTGAAATAAAAAAACGCAAGATTACTTTTAACATAAAATGAAGGGGAACTTGTGAATTTGTACAACCTAGAAAAGGGATTCTATTTGAATTTATTTTTTTGATAGTATTCCGACTTATTTAGTTAGTATGTATTGTAAAACAATGTAACATTTAATGAAACTGACGATTAAACACACTTAAACCCAAAAATATTGACATTTTATCGTACGTTGACAAGTGAAATTTGCAGAGGTTGATTTTTAAATTTCCAAACTCTAAGTAGAAACTTTATTTTGAATTTTTTTCAATGGAATAACATCTTGTATATTTACGTGTTTAGCAATACAGACAGTATGTTTAAGTCAACCAGGCGGATTATTGTATGCATAAATGTAATAACCAATTATTTTATACATGTCTTTAGAAATAAATTGGCAGAAAATAAAACGCGATTTCTTTTTTTTAAAAATAATAACCTACTGGTTGTGAGTTTGTTTGAAATTTCTCTGTTGTTTGATCAAATGATGACATAGGAAATCCTTCAGTTAGTGTTTGTAGATTTTTACGATTATTATCTGGAGAATATCTTAAACTATTACTCTTTGCATTCGTACTATTATTAGGCTTTAATTGTTCAAAAGATGTTGATTCAAATGATGATGATAAATGATTTTCTTCAAACTTCTTTTGTATTCCTATTTCTTCCTTTTGTTTAGCATTTATTGATACAGTATTATTAGTATTAGCACTGTAAATGACAGCAGCAGCTTTGACCACTTCATACGCATCAGATGATAGAGCTACAAGTTCATTTTCACGTGTTATTACCATTCCATCTAAACTGCCAGTAGATGTAGTTCGTTGACGTGATTTTTCTTCAATAATACGAGCCATAATAGAACCACTGAAATTAAAATTGAAAGATTATAGTTTATATGTTAGAAAGAATTCAAGTCAAATATTCATGATAACACTTTAATTTATTAATCTAAATACATTGATATTGTGAAAATAAAATTACTCTGAAAATTTCTACCAAATAATATCCAATTACAATCTGTAAATAAGATAGATTATACAGTAATTAGTAGTACTATCTAACTATTATAATTAAAAGAGATTGTTAAAGTTTAATCATTACATCATCTGACTGACAGTTATTCAAACGTCAACACCTTACAAAAAGCTCGAATGAAAATAAAATGCAAGTTGATTACATTATTTCTTTAGTTTCAATAGTGTACAAACCCAATTAAGTTATATGTATTATACAAGACCTAGAATAAGATCTTATTTAGAATAAACATACAATGTACAATATATGATGTACAAAGTGTGAAATAGGCTAAAATCTTAATTTGGTTTTAGTCTGCTTTCGACAGAAAATGGGAAAGGTTTCCGAAGGCAACAGTCATATGATAGTACATAAAATTCGTCGTAGACAATAGATAAACTTTAACTAACAACAAAAAACAGATACTGAGTGTGTAAACACACAAATATATACGTAGTGTTTACTGAAACATAAAAATAAACGCTTACTGTAAGTCATGTGGCTAAATTTAGGAGTAACGTCAAAGTATATGCGTTGGTGTTCGGAAAACTTAAGTGATGTATCACTAGGGATAAAGAAATAGACGAAGTAATAAGATCGATGGAGAAGGTAAATTCATGATCGGGAAATGAAACCTTGACAGTTTTCTGTAAACATTTGGTGAAGTTAATCAGTTTATTCGTCAACATATTAGAGTTCAGCATGGGTGGTTTTTACACACTTAAAAAGGCAGTTGAGCTATCAACTATTTAACATCATGGCTTGAACTAGAGGTTTTCCTAAATGCTAAACTTTTTAGTTATAAGAAAGGATTACAATGAATTCGACTATACATAAGGAGGTTGTAAACATCCTCTTTATAGATTTAATCACTGAATACAGCTAAAAGAAATAACTCAGAGATTAACTACGAGTTTTAGAAATGTTTTTGTACGAAATGTAACATACATTTGAAAAAGACTATAGTGATAAGTTTTCACGGATTACGTACGTTGGGACATGTAGATAGGCATTCATACACAACGCCTACTTACGAGCACAGCAGCAGATTGGAAATAGGCTACATGTGGACAAAACAAGAAATGATACAATCCACCAGTTACTAGTATATGTCTGCGGTAAGGATCCCTTAATTGATTCGTTTCATTATTATGGAAATGTAGACTCCATACTTCATATCTGCAAGGCAGCTGTGATCTATGGATATTCATTCTACATCAGTTAGTCAGTAATAAACAACGTAGAACCTAGCGAATATGTTCATTGTTTCAAGTTGCCACCCCATATCAGGACAGTCAGGTGAAATTAGGAAGAAAAAATTAGATATAAACCACATGATTCTAGAAGATATAATGAACTGACGGATTAAAAAACTTCACTTTATAAGTTAAGGTTAATGGAAATGTAAAAAGTAAATATACCCGGTCCACTGTAATCGATTATGAACCCGGTCATCCCTGTCGCCGATCATCGGTTACGACAATCATCCAGACCTCAACAAGGTATTCTTCACACAAAATAACTCAGTCTACCAGTCAATGACTTCATGGACGAAAACCACATCTTGGACTAAAATTATATCTTGGTTCGGTCGCTCCTAACTCTCTTCTAAATACTTTCTAAACCAGCAAAACACCCTGACTATATTTGCACTATATTACTCTCTATCAATAACATAGTTTAATTGCATGCTTTTCATCGATTACTTTCATTTGCTCTTTTTTGTACTGTTTTCTTATGTTTGCTTATTTACTGTTCACAGCAATATTTTTACCCTTTCACTGAATCTTTTTCCTCTATTCTCGTATGGAACGTGATAACTTGAAGCAATACACATTCCTATAAAATTCTATGGTCTTCATACTTGTCTGTCTGAAAGACGATGAAAGTTCATGACAAATTACAGTTTTTGATCAAATAAAACACCTCCAAAAGTCTTCAATATGAACTAATAAACATTTAGTTGGGTAACAATTAAGTAGAAGTGATATTCTTTCAAGTTGAATATCAGACATGAATTCTAATTTTACGTGAGCCAAATCATATGAATGTAATTAAAGAAGCACACTTACCGTTGAATTGCAATTTTTTTTACAGAATGATGTTTTGGTTTATGACTAGATAGCAAACAATTTAATTTGCACTTTTTCCGTTTGATTTGTTTCTTCTCTACTTCTTTTAATGATCTAATAGCTCTTATTCTTTCATGTACACTCACAGGACGAAATAACGATATACCAACCTGTCGTTAAATATAACATATTTTTTTCAACCAAAAAAGAGGAAAGAAATAAGTAAAGTACAGTGATAAATCACTATTTATCAAATCAATAAACACTTAACAATGCTAATGTTATTTAGGGGTGATAAAACTAACTTTAAATTTGCTTGAAGGGATTTTTAAGATTAGTTTAATTTGTTGGTGGTATTCGTTAAGAACGGGAATCATTTGAGATGTCACAGCAACCTGAGATCGCCGAATAGTTGCTTTGTGCCAGTGTGAAAATAACCAGTAGTACGCACTCAATAGCCTAGTCCCAAGGATCGAATTCTATACAAACAACTAAACCAAGATACAATCCACCAGTTACTAGTATATCTCTGCGGCAAGGATCCCTCACAAGTTTTAATATTAAACGTTGTTACTAGTGTGATTTCACTGTTATCTACTAATGACATTGGATCGTTGTAGCACTGTCTACCTACTACTGGACTTCAAAACAGTAGTCTAAAGTTCATAGGGTTCGCTGTGTAACATGAAAACCTTAGGTCTGATCCTCGATTAGTCGTGTACGCGTTTAGTTAAAAATGTTCATACCACGATGGAACGGCCAACCTGTGATCACTGGTTTTCAATGGTATGTTAGCTGATGTCAATCCGTGATTCAAATCAGTTACATGATTCTAAATCATTTTATTTTCTCAAAACCTATTCTAATTTCTGAGATCAGTCAAAAAAGTAGGGCGTGATAATGAATGAAACGGAAATTTGAATAAAGAGAACCACGTGATAATCTATACTTCATACTCTTAAAATATATATTTCCTAAGGTTTATAGTGAGATGGGGATGTAAAGTTCTAATAAAGAGCTACCAGATTTAAAACATTTCTTTAAAGAAATAAAAACCCTTAATGTGTTAAAACAAAGCATATATATAACATCCCTAATTCTCAGCATTGGCACGATATATGCCTCAAGTTGTCAAACGTAATGGTAGTACTGAGATGTTAAGCCAGTACAAAACACTCCAGATGTTCCTACCACTCTTAATATCTTGTAACCACAATGTGTTGGTCATTAGAAATACCATGTATATCTACTAGTGGTTTGATTTTTCGTTACTTTAAATTTACTCTGCCAGTAGATCTTCTACATCGATTTTCTGCACTATGAAATCAAAGAAATTGAATATAGAAATAAAATGTGATGTGTAGTAGGACTTATACAGTTCTCATAACGTGGTTACATTAGATAAACCGATTCGTCTTGATAACATTACGGGCTTATTACGGAACAGGATATGCACCGATAACTCTAATAACAGTTGAGACAACATATCCAACAGCTCCACTTGCATAGAACCCTCTAGCTACTCTGAAAGATGAATCGTGTTAAGATTTATTGAACGAGACCAAAGAAGACAGAGAAATAAGTAACCAAATACAACTGAAATATTCTGAAAAATAATGAACAGAATTAATGAAACTGAAGTGAAGTTGATTGGGTGAAAATCAGCTTAAATTGGTATGAGAAGACTGACTTTTCTTCTCATACGTTATATATGGGGATCAAATATCCCAACAGTATTACTGATAATTCTGAAGAATTTCATTGCTAAAGGGCGCCCCCAAACTTTGTTCACTGATTATATGACTTGAAACTTGATCAAAAGACTTTCTACCCGGCCTTTCAAAGTAAATAGATCGAGCTTAGGTTAACATAATTCCTTACCACTGATTTACTGAAGACATGCTTAGGTTGTTGGAATTCTATACTAGGTGTCTTGGAAGCATTTATCGCACAAACTGCAACCACGGAATAAATAATGTTGAGATCGAGCTTAGATAGCCCATTAAACATAATAAATCGGTCAAAGAGAAGTTCATAGACTAATAAGTGTTAGTTCTAGAAGTACCGGTGGGTGCATACTTTCTGTCTGACGAAAAAGTGATAATTGCGCTTAGTGATTAAATAACTAAAATCATATGATTCGAAACTGGTCAATGTGTCAAAAATATATTCATTCCTTATCTTTCATCGAATATCGGCATTTAATATTATTTCATAATCTTAGTTCACTAGTACATACATATATTTCATATATATATATATATATATATATATATATATATATATATGTAATAATGCATACACATATTTTCAGAGTATGCTTCCTGCATTTCGTTCCCCACAACCGGTAACACAAGAATTAATAAAACGCTTTCGATATTTCTTTATATTACATTTCTCTCTTGCTGTACTGGTATGAATTATGGAGAATTGAGTAAACACCCATTAATTCCGGGTTATAAGATAAATAATAGCTGTATAGGTTTTGAAGCAGACAGCTAAATTGAGAAAGCTATTGAAATCCCTTTAAACATTAAATTTTTAAATGAAGACCACAATATTCCATAGACCTGATAAAAATGTCTGGAGTTCTCATCAGAAGTAAATATCTTCTACAAACAAACATACATCTAAGTAAAATGATTAGCTGGAGAACGATATATATATATAATATATATATATATATGCGATTTTTTATAGTACCCATTAATCACAATAAATAATATTGGTCTGTAGTCTCAAATATCAACCTAATTTTGTCGACTACGGAGTAGTATATAACAGCAAGTGTATTTGACACAGTAAAATATTTAATTTCGAATGGTTTGATGAAGTCTCCTGAAACCTATTAAACCCAGATGTATTTTTAAATATTGAACTATAGCAACAACCTCAAAGGAATATATCCTTGAAGCTTCGAACCCGTAATAATTATGTATATGATATCCCAAATGAGTGATATTTTACACCTACATTAAGGAGATATGTATTTTTGATATAACAGCTATGCTTACTTGATGGGTGCCAAAAACAAGTAGTTTGGATAGGTACGTAAGTTGTACGTTTCTTAAGTGATAACACATGTCATTTTAGGAAACCTTAAATACTCATAAATGTATGCATTACCCTAAGAAAGACTACGTTTCATTAATCATGAACATTGCAAAAATCTAAAACTTACTAAGGTTTGACTAAACAATCCACTAATGAGAACGAGACTACCACGCCATGAGAAATGAACTGCTAAATAAGGTGTAATAATAGCCATTAAACCGGCACCTAAACATCCACCACACATTACAATGCCAACAATGAAAGCTCGATGTTTTTCAAACCAGTGTCCGATAACTGTAATTGCCGGTAGATAAACTAGACTACAACCGATTCCTAGGAAATAAAGATAACAATATTTAAATAATTAATAAAGCGAACCCAACAAGTTTATGTATACTTTTAGAACTCTGGTATTTTCTGCCTTTCCACTTTAAACAAATCAGAATATACATAAATATGCATTCAATCGGCTTCATGAGACCATAAATCTGTTATGTAGTTAATCTCCTAATATCGTTTGATTGTACCTTTTAATAACTTTTTTCCACACTTATTAACCAAGAAAAAAGCTTCGTTCCAATAAGCAGACAGATCAAATAACATAGAGCAACTATTATAAAAACATTTAGAACAATTATAATTGTCACTTGTTTGGAGGAATACCATGTGAGCCAGGCTACGAATTTATTCCTTGTTTTCTAGCCCGTTGAAATCACAAAATGGAAATGGTTAAAGATTCAAGTTTAGGAAAAATATCCAATATATATCATAGTTTAGAGAAAAAACTTCATTGTGGTCCCACAAATATAATCTCTGACTGTATAAACTGTACAAACACTATAAAATATAACATAAAACCAAACCATACATAAGGACTGTCATGGAATTTTAATAGGTGCTGCAGATGTCTTGGGAGAAAGTCAACTAAAACTAACAGAAGTATAAATAGTTATATACTTTAGTTCTACTCCGAAATACAAAATAACAGATTATGGAACCATTTAGACCATCTTTACTCAAGAAGCAGACAAAGTGAACTCTGCTGGTTACCATTAGAATATATCAATGATAAAAGTCTATCAGAAATAAAGGGTTTCAAACTACAGCCTCTCTAGCTCATCTGTCATATTATCAGACCGGTACTTCAAATTCAACCACCACACATGTTTCGTATTATTCCTGTATATTTTTACATCTTAGACAAACACTGGAGAAAAAGGTAAACACTACAATCTCAAGTAATTCACTTACCACCTATTATACCAAATACAAAGATGAATGTAACCAAATCATAAATGAACAAAGCACTTATTAGAAAGCATAATGAAGTAATGACTGCACCAACTGATGCAACTATACGATAGCCAAAACGATTTACCAGAGCACCCGTAAACGGACCTAATACAAAAAAGAGGGAATAATCATATAAAAAAGCTAGTCGCAAATATTGATATACTACCAACAAACTAAAAGAAACTTTTGTCCACCTAGTCCCAATGATGATATAAAAAATATTATTAAGCACAACATCAAAACCTTTATATATGATAGCTAGAGTTAGGATTTTATACAAAATAAATCGACCTTATATGATTATCTGTGGTGTTTGTATGAACTAATGATTCTTTTGTACTAGGTGTCTACCTGATTTCCAATTCCAAATACAATACGTTCGTTAGCGCTCACCTAGTTCTGTCTACTTAGATCGCGCTATTTCGGGAATCCCTAGTTCGCACAATAATTCAAATACTTCTAGTTATCACAGTATCATAAATATTAAATAAAACTAAAACTCAGAAATGACTGTTGAACAATAGAATCATATTAACAAATGGAGCATTCTAGAATTTTACCTATTTTTTTAAAAACTGCAAAGTTTGTATGTTCCTTAAGCAGCCGTCATTGAAATCAGACATCTCGAATGAAGAAATACTTTCATACAATGCGTACTCATAGATCGCGAAAATATCTCGATTTTTCTAATCACTTTAGATGTGCTTTTTAGATTTACTGGTTACCAATATTTAGATTTATGAAATTAAATGCTACTTTTTATCAAACGTTTAAATATCAATAATACTATAGGCCGTTATCTGTTTCAGTAATGCTGATTTAAAACAAGTATTAAAAATGTCCCATCTCTGTTTTCAATTAGTTTAGTTGAAATTGATAGTTGTAACCTCTATATCGGATTACATTCTCAGTTTTAGTATCTCAAGAACCTAAATAATCGTGGAATAAATCCATAAGAATCTATTTGGATTTTTTCATTCGAAACTATGTAATTTCAACAGTGGATTCAAACATAAATAATGGACTAACTATACAGCTTAGCATTCTATCTAAAGCTATCCGAGCGCAACTTACTTACTTACTTACGCCTGTTACTCCTCGTGAAGGAGCATAGGCCGCTCACCACCATTCTCCATCCAACCCTATCCTGGGCAATCCTTTCTAGCTCCGTCCAGTTGTAATTCATCCTTTTCATATCTCCTTCTATTATCCGACGCAATGTGTTCTTTGGCCTTCCTCTTTTCCGCTTCCCTTCAGGATTCCAAGTTAGGGCTTGCCTCGTGATGCAGTTTGACGATTTGCGTAATGTATGTCCTATCCATTTCCATCGTCTTTTCCTAATTTCTTCTTCAGCTGGAAGTTGGTTTGTTCTCTCCCACAGAAGGCTATTGCTGATGGTATCCGGCCAATGGATTTTGAGTATCTTGCGTAGCAGCTATTTATAAATACTTGTACTTTCTTGATTGTGGTTGTTGTAGTTCTCCAAGTTTCAGCTCCATACAGTAGAACTGCCTTGACGTTCGTATTGAAGATTCTCACTTGATATTGGTTGAAAGTTGTTTTGAGTTCCATATGTTCTTCAATTGTAGGAATGCGACCCTTGCTTTGCCGATCCTCGCCTTTACGTCTGCATCTGAACCTCCTTGTTCATCGATGATGCTTCCTAGGTATGTGAAGGATTCTACATCTTACAGAGTTTCGCCATCAAGAGTGATTGGATTCTCTAAGTATGTCATTACTCACTCGTAGGTGACCACAGAGTGAAGAAGTAGAAGATTAGGGTAGGGCAATAGACATGGAAGACAAGTTGAAAGAAAACTAAAAATATTCTCTACTTAATTCTTAGGTTGAGTACTACCAATTGACAGTGGATGTTAGATATTGACATTGGGACTGAAACTTACAACTTATGTTACATAACCGTAACGAAATTTGAGATAGAAGCATCAGGTCATTACTGGTGTCTTTTAGCCATCTTCGACGAAAAAGATCCAACCTATTACCTCCAGCTGAATCTAATTACATCTAAACGGCCCAAATGGCTGGTGCTTCGAGTAAATAAATGGTCAAGACCCTATTAAGATAACGACAGGGAAATGTCTGACAACTATGGTCGTCAAGATCATATCCACGTCGCACTCAAACGAAGCTCAGGAGTAGCGAACGCAAAAAGCCGCACATGTTTTTTACATGACCGGTAGACAAGTCGATCAAATCTTCACCCTTCACTAAGCTTTAGAATATAGAAACCCTTACAGATACTTTATTGTAGATGCATTCTTTTCTCTAAGGACGAAGTTTATCTCTATGGTACAAGAATTCTGATAATAAGTATAATAATGTATACCAAAGAAGTATGTCAATCCAATAAAGCCCCTTTACTCGTTCTTTTGGCAAAAACAGAGTTCACTGGTGGACGAACTTCTGAGTTGGCTACTTCAAGTGATGTCTATCAGAGCTGCCCAATCTCCTTTTTTATACTATATACTTCAAACCAGATCTTTCTTAGTCTAAAATAAATCCACCTGGAAACCCTAGTTATATCAAAGTTAGTAAATGATAGTTTTGTTTGATGAAGACACTAACTACATCGGCTTTTAAACGTTTTGAGTGGTTATACAAGAATATTTCGAATGGGTTAATTTTTTTTTAAATCAAAATAATCCATCAGATTTTGGCTGTTTCAACGGTCATTGTAATCCTGTGGAGTGAAGTAGTTGACAATGTTAACCATTCTACGTAGCTTGATAATCTTATCAACCCTGACTATAGGTCACTGATGAAATCTCGGGATTGTACAAAAATATCACACAACATCTGCATAAACTAAGCGGAGAATTGTATAGTTACATAGCTGAGAGAATCAGTCTATGAAATCAAAATTTATGTTTAAGTTGCAAGTCTGTGGTATTTCATTCATATCATTACTTTCATATAGTGAAACCATAAAGAGGGTAATGCTATCGTTATGCTACAGAGAGCTTGGATATCCTGCAAATTTCTGTTGACTGATGTGCTTGAGACAAACGTTATACATAGCAACCCAACGATCTATCATATTGCTTTGTGATGGCTTGAATAAAAAAACTAGGGAAAAAGTGGCATCATATTACGAAAGCAATAGGTGCATGAGAGAATAGTGAAAGAAAGTTGAAGGCTTCTTGGCTATGGTTCGCCGGATATTGTAGTCTGTGGCCAAAAATTGCTTGAAATATTTCTGTCAGACGCAATTACTATAAAACGCTCTTCATTTAACAAATCTTTAACTTGTCGTCTATTGGATACTTTCATCAGTTCTTGGTTACCTATTTTCTGGACTGTTCTTAGTTTTCCATTATTATTTCTATTACTCTCTTTACAAGTTTTCCCTTATCTTTTCACTTTCTTTACGCATCACTGCTGATAATAACAATACTTCATGTCCAATAAGATGATTATTATGTTACAAGCAGTAAGGTGGGAAATTTATAAAATGTGAGGCTACACAACTCAAATTAAGGTATACGAGTCCCAATTCAACAACAACTAATCACTAAAATTAAAGATAACTTAATTAATGGGGTAGTGAACAGATATTGACAAAGATAATAAATATGTGCCACAAAACAAATAACTGAACACATGGACTCCATACATTATCTCGAATGTTATAGTATGAACATTTCGTAATAGGCCTTTTGTAAAGTAAAATTGTTTGGAATAATCCAGTGCACTGTTTCCCCTAAAAAATAACAGATGTTTACCTACCGAATAAAAAATACATCCCACACAGTAATGCTCCAGGCAAGCTTAACAAAGCTAAAGATGGCTTTCTTTGTGACTCATTTGAGTCAGATGGATCTATTCTGAACTGTCCTTCGTGAATCATTTCATTAATGTGTAGACCAAAAGTGAAGCACACACCATCCACAGCAAAGATGCATAGAAAACTCCCTAGTGCAACAAGCCAACCCCAACCACCATTTGGAGCTGGTTCACGTAAAAAATCTAAGAATGGAAAAATAATTGTTGATATGAAGTGATACTAGCACAGAAAAATGTAATTGAATAGTAATGATGTAATTAGTATACTCCAGACTGAGATAAAAAGAATTCTAGTATTAGCGATGGTCTGGAAGTTACATGGTATGATAATAAACCATATTTAGTGACACTTAGAATGGTGGGAGTAGCACATCTTGAACCAAGAAACGACTACTCCCCAGTACCTTAAATTCAGCTAATGCCAAGATATTTGACTGTATGGACCCGTAAAGAATTCTATACCATAGAAATAACCTTTAGAAAACAAAGTGATATCATTTTGTATGTCTACTGCTTGATATTTATTCACATATCCAGTCAGTTGGCCAGCAGTTGTCTTCTGGAATTCAATGAGACAGGTTTGAAGACCGGTCCTCTCAGTAAATCTTCAGTTAAGGAGTCGCAATAATATCAGTATTCTATTATTCGAAGCATTATAATAAGTAGGTAATTTTTTGTTATGAAAAAGCATGGATGTCCAAAAGATATACGAAAAAAACAAGAATGCACTGCTACTTTGAAAAACTCTCTCTTCGTATTAACTTTTAAAATGAGTTTACGAACTGCATAAAATAGGGTTGGGATATTGACTTATTATTTTTCGTACCAACCATTCAGTCTGTGAAGATTGTAAGAAAAATAACTGGAATGTCATTTAACGTCGATCATTTAAAAAAATTGACTGTTTCCTCAGAATTCAGAGTATCAAGTTTAAAAAATGACCGAAATAAGATCGGCCACTGCACATTATAATATAGCTAGTAACACAATATCTTAGTTATCTAGCAATTTATAAATCTTAACTAGTGAACTAGCCTAAGTACCTAAATGCACGAAACGGTAGCTTAGTGGTTAAGGTACTGGAATTTCAACAAAAATACGTCGCTGCTTCGAAGCCCGTTCCACCCACTTCAGTTCAGGTATAGTTTTCCCTAACATTTATGGACTGTGCCTCAAAGCCAAGCACATGAACCAGTACTTGATGGGATATTATTTAAGCCTACTTTCGCAAAGTTTATTGATGAAGTAGATAGATATAGTAATGGAAGTTCAAATGCTGTAAAAACGGTAGATGATAACATTTTGTAAATGTTGACCTACGACACAGTTCGGTATCAGAACCAAGGTCTCAATATCAGTACGTCATAACGGACAGAAATTTGTAGACATCATGGAACGTGCATAATCAAACTACAGTGAGTTAAGATTTATTACGGAAAACTAAATTTCCCAGCAATAATTGATACGTAGACTATTAATATCCTCATTTTTGGCTTTACTGACCGTAGTATTCAGTAAGACGCATGACTCTATAGTACCATAAAATCCCACAATATTAAGAACATAGAAATTGTAAACGTGGAACAAACCTTCATTTATTTCATATCCTTCTTTATCTGAGACATGAGGTCGAATATTTCTAGTTGGATCGCTAGGTGGTTTAAGATTTTCAACAGGATTATCAGTGGTTCTTGATGGTTGGTTAAATTGGTGATCAGAATTTGTAGATAATTGGGCTGATGTCTCACCAGGAAAATCAGTTATCTCTTGAACACATGGTGGTTGTGAATTTAAATCAGGTACAACAGGTTGTGAGTACAAAATGGGTTTCTGTTTACAGTAATCAATTGAAATAGATTTCACAGGTTCATTAGACGATATGCTGATATGTTTTGTTTGATGAACAGGCAGAACGGTGGAATTATGTATTTCATCAGCAATACCATAACCATCATCGCTTCCGATATAAAACTGTTGAATAGGCAAAGTTGGAGCTGAACTTTCTCGGTGAACACACAGCATAGTCTTCAAAAATAATCGTCAAGAGATTTCATGCGTCATATACTAAATTAAATAGTATAATATAACATTGTTATATGTTTACATAAGTAATTAAAACGATCAATATTTAAGTCTCACTAAAACTCTTAATTGTAAGTCAGACAGGAATTTTCAGGAGCTATAACGGCAACTAGATGACCATTCAAACCTTAAACCTGTTTGCTCTAACCAGGAGAACCATCAGGAATAGATAATTAAACAAGGAAAATGCACATCAGAACGGATGAAAAGTAAACACTCACTAGTGTAAAAAAAATACTAATGAAGACTGATATTGATATGGCGAGCTAATAAGTAGCCCAATGAAAAGGTCAATCGACAACAATTAGAAACAACCTGAAGGACAAGTGCATTTCATTGGCTAAGGAACTGATCAATTTCCTAAAGACTAGAGCGATATATATATATATATATATATATATATATATATATATATATATATATATATATAAATGAATATTTATGTAATTTATTCGGCAGATCAATACACTTTTTCGCTCATTCTTGTGTTCTCACTCAAGTAATCAGTCGGAGAGAGGGAGTTAGCCTGTAGCACACCGTGTATCACTAACAGATTTTGGATAACGCCCGTCAAACAGATATAAGTTGAATAACTATAAAAAGCTGTCTAGTTTTAGTTTAGGACTCATCAACGATGCAAAACAATGGCTCCAGAAAATTAAGCCAAGAACTTCAATGTCTTAAAAGTGCATTTACTGTTTGCCATCAAAGTAGTGTTTATTTTATGAATCTACAGAATAATAGTTTGTAGAAACCTGGGTTTCAAGTCAATAAATAATAAGCCCCCAAATGTCCTGGTATGGCCGAGAGTGGGGAGAGTCCGCTCACCCTCTCGAAATGCTCTCACATGGCCACGCATATATAGCCTTTGCCAGGGAAGTCCTACCCACTGCCTTCTTGTAGCGGGGATGTTGTTTACGAAATTGAGAGGACGAAAAGCGAATATCTGGCGTCTTAACCGAGTTGGTGGATATGGAGAGTTCACCTAGGGGAGTTGGAAAACCCTGATTCCAAACCAATGGTGCTTATGGGCTCCAGTATCCTGAGTGAACAAATGGCGTATGAACCAATCGTTGATCGCCAGCATCCATGGACCACATCTTCTTACGATGCTACACTGCCTTGTGGATCAGACCTTCAGGTCGAAGGCTGTGGCCTCCTAAGAAAACTACCTGCTTCGGTTTGGGCACCCGGACAGCATCACAGCCCTCACACATGTCGAATGAGATTTGTGTGGCGCATATGTATTTGGTGCCTCCTTGTACCAACATCTATGTGTTAAAATAAAATAAAGCAATACAAAACCTAGTATAAATATCCATCGAACCCAATTCCAAAAACACATTAGTACAGAGACAAAGTCAGAATGCGAGTAAAGTAGTGCAGAAGCCAGTAACAGCAAGAAAAAAACACAGAGGATATGACTCAAGAAAAAAGGTAGAATTTCTACAGTACAAAAACATAAAATAGATTACAGTCCCATAATTCTGGAGAAAACAAAGACTGAACGCACCTGAGTCATCACGACTGATTCTCAGTCACGCCACACAACATCTATAACCATCGATCACGATAGTTGCACGGTCGCTAATTAGATAGTCTGTACTTACCAAAATGGCTTAGTCAAACAACCACTGACTTCGTAGAACAATGGGCATCCCAATGGTTAGACAGCTCTCAGCTTCATCTCAGAGGCTACTTGTTAAGTAACTCGATATTCTCAAGAGAATTCGAGACAATTAATACAGTTTAGTGTGATATCAATATTAATATGCCTACATTATATAAGGAAGTACTGAGATATCGCAATGGATATATATCCATTGGATTCTAATAGCGTTGTTTGAAACAATGTACCATCCTGAGATAATCACTGGCAAAAACAAAACACATCATCACAATAAAGGAAATAAAGAGAGAGAATAATGGTTGCTAAGACAGAAACTAGAAAAAGAGATGGAAAATAGTCTTACTCCGAACGAATAGGTATTTTTAAACTTAAATTGACATTCATAAAACGTAAAATTCTAGGAGGCCTAAAATTTGGAATTACATTTAGCTATAATTAAAAAACAGTGAGCCAAGGATTCAAATCTCAGTACACATAAAAGTAGATGGCTGCAAACCCACCACAGTGACACAAGAGTTAGAGCAAACTGTGGTGAACAGGCAGAAATCAAATAATGAAGTGGCAACATAAATGTATAAAAAACAGATTTTACACCTTCCGTTAATGTGAAAAGTACTTTACTCACGTAAAAGCAAAAACAACTACTTGGAATCAAAGTGTGCACATCTTTTCTGCTAGACGAGTACATTTGTCTCGTATTAGTCGGTTTAAACAATTTTGGTACTCACTAATCAGCAAGAAGAAGGGTACATCGGTTGGCCTCTAGTAGTTCATCACAGTGTGTTTTTAAGTATGAACCAACTTGTTTTCTGCATTCATTCACTCACACAGCTGATACCACTTGTTCGGATAGACTTTTAGTCCCTAAAAAATGGTTCAAATGGCTCAAATGGTTGTGGACGGAATAGAAGAAGCTTTCACTTAACAGGCTCCCGAGTCTTGTAGCAGGGAATCACGAATAACTTCAGGCAGGAACCTATGCACGTTAACGATAAAAGAGGAAAAGGAAATCGCTAAGTTATAATATGATACTATCCTTAGACTTTAAGAATCGATATAGTCGACTCTTAAAGGACTCCTGGGAAATCGCTTGAGCTAGCTCGGCCAGCAGCGAATTCCAGCATTTTACAACTCTTAAGGAGTAGAAGTTGTGTCTACAGTCTGTTTTGTTATGTTGTGTCTCCAATTTCTGGGTGTTACCCTTTAGGTTGGTATTGGGACTAAGCCTAAGTAGATGTTTAAGAGGATGTCCAGAAGTGTTAAGGATACTGTAAGCCACTGAAAGTTCACCTCTAAACCCCTTTATTCTAATGGGTAAAGGTTAAGTGATTGTAGGTGCTCTTCATTAGGTCCTTGGACTGATTTCGTGGCTCGCCGTTGGTTACTCTCCAGAGTGTCCTTATCCTTTTGGAGTGAGGGGGAAATACTATGTTTCCGTACTCTAAATGGGGACGGATAAAACTATTGAAGATTATATGGAAAGTTTTTTCCGTCAAACTGGCCAAAAATGCGCTTCAATGTTACCAGTGCAAGGTTTGCTCGGAAGGCATTTTGTCACAGTTAGCATAAGTCTTTAAATCGTAAGGCACCAACACTTCTAAATCTTTTTCGACTTGGGATACTACTGGAGAGGAGTTTCCTAAGTTATAACTGTAGTCTGAGGCATGTCGCAGATGGACTACTTTACACTTTGAAGTGCTAAAGGCAAGTGCGTTATCGTCTGCTCAACTTTGAAGTCGAGTCAGATCCTACTGAAGTGCCTGTATATCTTCATGGTTGCGTATCTCTCTTCAAAGTTTCACATCATCAGTAAAAAGCAATGAGTCTGACGATACCTGTTAAGGAAGATCATTTATGTAGATCAAGAAGGGAAGAGGTCTTAGTACTGAACCGCGGGGGGCCTCACTAGGACATTCCATCGCCCTGACCTTAAAATGTCGATTTTTCAGGTATGAAGTGAGTCAATCAGTTTGAGGTGGTCTGATACCCAATCGTTTGAGCTTATTGATAAGACATATATGGTTAACCCTATCAAAAGCTTCTGGGAAATCAAGGTAAATGATATTAACCTTCCCCTTGCGATCGAGGATGCTTGTCCATCTGTCCACCGCAGTCAGCAGGTTGGTTATACAAGAGTAACCCTTCCTGAAACCATGCTATTGGGTGAGCAGAAATTTAAGTACAGTAAATAGTCATGTATACCATCGCATATCAGGGACTTCATGATTTTTGAAGGTATAGAGAGCAGAGCCACCGGTCGGTAACTTGTATGTTCGCTGCGTCGAACTCGTTTGAAAATTAGTGTGATGTGAGCGAGCTTCTAATTTTCGGGTAGTTTGCCCAGCTTAGCGAGTGTGAGAACATCATGCTCAGTAGCGTTGCCAGGATTGAGGCTGATCCCCTCAGTATAGCAGAATGAACCATATCTGGGCCAAGAGGCATGTCTTTTCGTAGGTTCTGCAGGTTTCGGAACACCAAGTCAGCTCTCAGGGTCACTACAGAAAGCCCTGTGCAGTTGCAAATGAAGTTGTCAGCAGCATAGTTGATGTGGGTCGGTTGAAATGTCCGAGAGTATTGTTCAGCCAAAAGGTGAGCGGCCATTAGGACATAGCATTTGGGAAACTCCAGTTTTGGCTTGACGAAGAGAGACTGCATAACAGAATAAGCTCTTCGGATTGGAGACGAATTTATCCATAAGCTTTATCTGGTACTGAAGCCTGTCTTCTCTTACAGCCTTCATGCATATGTTCCTTATATGTTTGTATTGCCTGTACGCCCATTGTTGTCAGTTCGTTCATATTCTCCCCAACAGTGCCTTTTGCGGCTTGATGATTGTAGGTTGCTTGTAGTTTCTGGGGGCCGTTTGAGGAACTGAGTGCTTTGTGGAACATGAGAACATGTGCAGTAAGAAGTCCCAATGAGCATCCACATTGAGTTGAGGGTGAACATCCCAATCCACCTGTTGCAAACAGTCAACCATTTGAAATTCCAGCGCATGTTGTTGGTGGAATATCTTAGCTCAGTTTTGCTGACAAAACTGAAGGCTATGACGGTGTGATCGCTTTTCTACAGGGGAGCCGGTATTGAGAGGTTGTTAACTAGGAATTCTTCGTTTGTAAATACACAGTTTAGGAGCGACGATGTCTGACTGTTTCTCCAACGAGTTGCCGACTTTACATTTTCGTATAATCCCAAGTCCTCAATGAGGTTGAAGAACCGAGCTTAAGTTGAGTTTTGACCTAGGGAGATTGAAGTCCCCTAGAATCAGGATATGAGCGAAACCGAGACGCGTAGAGCGGGATATTCCTTC